TTTTTTTTGGTTTTTCGAGACAGGGTTTCTCTGTGTAGCTTTGAGCCTTTCCTGGAACTCACTTGGTAGCCCAGGCTGGCCTCGAACTCACAGAGAACTGCTTGGCTCTGCCTCCCGAGTGCTGCGATTAAAGGCATGTGCCACCACCGCCCAGCTAGACAAAAATTCTTAATGTTTTCAGAAACAATACTTTTACTTTTTTAACATTCCACCCACATTAATTTACAAATACCAAGTGTCTTTTTATATAGTAATAAAGATATTTTGTTTCTAAGAAGTATGCTACTCATTTTAATAAAAAATAAGATTTTGAAAATCTTTATTATAGTTGAGAAGAGACTTACAAAGGGATATCAGTAGCTTTTCAAAATTAAAGATTTCTAAAATTTGCCTGCTTATTTAAGTTGGCATAATGGAATATGAAGAATCACTTCAAAAGATATTCCGTAAGCCAGGCATGGTACTGCACATTTTTAATCCCAGGGAGAGGCAGAGGCAAAAAGATTTCTGTGAGTCAGCCTGGTCTACATAAGGATTCCTAGGTGCCAGAGCTACAAACTGAAACTCTGTCGCAAAAATAATAATGTTTTAAATAAAAATAAATAATTTTGGAAAAATAAGAGAAGTTGGAGAGATGGCTCAGAGATTAAGGGCACTTATTGCTCTTGCATAGGACCTAGGTTCACTTCCCAGCACCCACATGATGGCTCACCACCATCTTTAATTCCAGTTCCAGAGGATCTGACACCCTCCTTCTGACCTCCACTCATGGTGCACATACATGCATGCAGACAAAACACACATACACATTAAATAAAAAATTGATAAAAAAGGAATCCCCTTACAAATGTATTAAGTTTCTAGTTTTTCTGTAGAAATAATCAGTAAAAATAAGTAACTCCTGAAGGTTGTTCTCCAGCCCCCACATGTACAGTGTGGACATATATACCCACACATGTACAGTGTGGACATATATACCCACACATGTACAGTGTGGACATATATACCCACACATGTAGAGAGTGGACATATACACCCACACATGTACAGCGTGGACATATACACCCACACACATGTATAATGTGGACAGATACACCCACACACATGTATAATGTGGACAGATACACCCACACACATGTATGCCCCCACACAACAATGTAGGGTTTTTAAAGAAAAAAATACATTGATTAGATAACAACTCACATACAGATTTGATTTGGTAATCAGATTTAAGTTCAGTGTGGTTAAGGACCTGGAGAGGAGCAGCTGCACAAAACTTGCTGCTCTTGTACAGGACTAGAGCGTGGTTCCCAACACCCCTATCAGGCAACTCACAACCACCGGTAACTACAGTTCCAATGATCCAACGCCCTCTTCTAGCCTCCACAGACTCCTGCACAACATACATCTGGCATATAAACACACATAGGCACACACACACACACACACTCACTAAATAAAAGTGTTTTTTAGTGGAAAAATTAAGTGTATTCAAATAATGTTTGTTGAAGATTAAGTAGGTAATTATATTTAAACAGGGTAGGGTTTCCCAAATAAGTATGATAAGGAAAGGTGTGGAAAACAACAAAGGTGTCTGAAAATAAGTGGTTGTTGGGCTGGATAGAAGTGAGGTCATATGCAAGGAGGACACTTTAAAAGCCATCTATTTGTACAACCTTATTTTCATACTGAATCAAACAAAATATTTTTAAAGCAAGTAGCACTTTTTAAACTACTGAAAATTTAATATTTAATATTTGATATTAATATTTCTAAGTATGATTAATTCATTATATTATAATTACTCTAATATAAGATATACTTCAAAATAATGTAAGCAGCGAAGGTGAAGGCAAAAATAAAATTAAGATAGTCCATGAGATGATAACTGTTCAAGTAGGATCATAGGTATATCAGAGTTCAGTATACTAAACTTTGTACAGTGGGGGCAAACAACAAAAGAAAAAGAAGCAGACCACGTGGAAAGTTCATTTAAGATGAATGTGTATTTCTCACTGAACACAGAGAAGTCAAGCTGGTGCTTAGCTGGAGCCTTCACTCCTAGTGAAGACTAGTTAGTGTTCATGGTACTGAAAGATACTGCACACACTGGAAAGAGTCAACCTCAACCCAGCTACAAGCCATGATCTACATGGCGACCTGTGTGCATGACATGCTAATGCAATAATGGCACAAAAGTTGTGGGGGTGACCAATCGCTCTCTGCTTGGATATAAGGCCCACTCCACAAGATGGAACTCATGCCTGACACTGCTCAGGTGGCCAAAAACCTGAGACTAGACATGCCATGGACCTAGGAGAAAACCAAAAACTATTGCTCTGCTAAAACAGTGGTTTTCAACCTGTGGGTCTCAATTCCTTAAGAGGTCAAATGACCCTTTCACAGGGTTCACATGTCAGATATCCTGCATATCTGATGTTTACATTATGATTCATAACAGAAGCAAAATTACAGTTATGAAGTAGCAATAAAAATAATTTTATGGTTAGAACTTACCACAACATGAGGAATGAAATTAAGGGGTCAAAGTATTAGGAAGGTTGAGAACCACTAGGCTGAAGGAATCTAGCAATAAAATGACTCCTAATGACATTACGCCATACCCATAGATCAGTACCTCACTCAACCATCCTCAGAGAACCTTTCTCTTGTAGTACATGGGAACTAACACAGAGACTCACAACCAGACAATGTTGAGAGTGAGAGGCATTGGAACAGTCAGTCCTAACTGGGATGTCTTCATCACACTCCTCCCCTCAGGCTCAGAGAGCTGTGCAGAAGAGGCAGTGGAAGGATGGAAGAGCCAGCGGGGACGGATGACACCAAGGAAACAGAGTCTTCCAGACCCATCAGGACGGATGTGAACTCCCAAAGAACTCACTGGGGGCAGCACGCACAGGGCTCGCAGATTCAAGCCCGACATGGTTCAGTGTGCAAAGGCAGAAGTGGATACAATCTCCCATCCCTAAGCAAAAAGCAATCTCCGAATGACATCCTCTTGTAAAGGAAAAATCAGTTTTCTCTAATGGAGTCTCACTGGGCATGTTAACCACACTTAAGGGTTATTTTTATAGGTTTTCTGTCTCATATTTGCTTTGTTTAGACATATATATTTTTTTTTTGGTCTTACTGGTCTCTTGCTTATATATCATAATTTTTTATTTTGTGTTATGGGTTTTGTTTTTACATGCATTTGAGTGTGTGTATGAGTGTTTCTTGTGATTTTTCTTTGGTTTTGCTTTTCTTATTCTTGCTTTTTAAAATTGTCTATCTGTTTTCTAAAGAGAGAGAAAAAAGGGTGTGGAGTTGGCTAGGTATGGAGGTGGGGAGGATCTGGGAGGAGGTGAGGAAAGGAAAACAGTGATCAGAATATATTGTATGAAAATTTTTTAATAAATGTATAACTGATTAAGAATTTTGTAAGACCTGAAAACCTCTAAAACTTGCACATACATAAAACATACACAGAAGTTGATTATTATATTTTATATTTTAATTAAAAGAAAGCTAAAGGGCTGTGAGGATGATGAGAGTAACACAGTTAAAAGAAAAGTCAGAAGGCTGGAGAAAGGGCTCTGTGGTTAAAAGCACTGGCTACTCTTCCAGAGGACCCAGGTTCGATTCCTAGCACACACAGGCATATGAACTCTCCTGGACTCCACAGGTACCAGGCAGCACACACATAGTGCACACAAACATGCAGGTAAAATACCCATATACATAAAATAATAAAATGAATAAAAGGAACAAAAATATGTGTGCTAGATTTTACTCTGTACCAATGTTTCCCACAAAGATTGATTTAACAAATACAGTTTGCCTTTAGTTAAGAAAATGTTTTGTGTAAAAAAAAATCTAAATAAGAACTGACACATTAAAAATAAAAATTTCTTACATTCATAAACTTTGTTTTACTGTATAGCAAACAATTCTGATACTTACTACATTATGATCTCATACACACTATGATCTCATAAACCATTTCATAACTGGCTTATAAAATATCATACAGTAAGATGTTTGCTTATTTAATACATACTTATAAAAAATTACGGAATTTAAACTTACTATTTCTCTCTGTTCTCTTGGAAAAGAAGAAAATAAGCACAGTTCTTATGGTCCAGATGCTAGAGAGGAAGCAAAATTCAAAACAAAATCATTACAAGAGGTGAATCAGAATACATAGAATTGAATTAGGGTTAGGTATATATATATAAAATAAAAAAATACTATATTCTGTCAAGGAATACCAGAAGCTTGCCTGAGCTTTCAATAGAGGAGTTCTCAACCTAAACTCCATGGGCCTTCTGAGGGTCCCATGGAATTATAAAAATGCCTTTGTATATGAGTACATTTCTCTAGAGAAACCATTGTTTTTGCAACTTCTAAAGGGTCTATGAATCCCCCAAGACATTAAGAACAATATTATAGAATGCTTTCTTTGATTAATATTTATTTTATTTTTATTTATTTGTATGTGTCTGTGTATTTATATGTGCCTATGTGTGGTGATGCCCATGGAGGCCAGAAGAAGGTGTAAGATCACAGGTAGCTGAAGTTACAGTTGTAAACCTATTAGCATAGATGCTAGCAACTGAACTCAAGTCCTCTGCAAGAGCAGTACAAATCTTAACCACTGAGCCATCTCTCCAACCTCAAGATGCTTTCTAAATAAGTATCAATTCCAAAAAATTTTATATGTTCCCTTGTGTTAATAGGCAAGCGTGTTCTTTTCCAAACATGAGCATTATTACACAATTCACTGGAGAGATCTTTATTCAACAGAATAAGCTATCTGGAGAAAGAAATTAGCCAGGAGAGGGGAGAGCCTTACTTTCAAATAAACACTTGATAAAAAAAAAATTAGCTAAATGGCTCCTTTTAAGATTCTATGGTAGCCAGGTGGTGGTAGAGCATGCCTTTAATCCCAAGCACAAAGGAGGCAGATGCAGGTGGATCTCTGTGAGTTCAAGGCCAGCCTGGTCTATAGAGTGAGATCTAGGACAGCCAAGGCTATACAGAGAAATCCTGTCTCAAAAAAGATTTTATGGTAATAACTCTTTAGGCTTTGTACTCCTATTATATCCAAAAATATTTTAAAAAAATTAAGAGAAACTCAAAATAATCCTCTCACAAGGTCATTTCTTCAATTCAGTATAAATACAGAAAAGACCAGACCAGTCAGATGGCTCCGTGGGTAAAGTGCCATAAACCCAACAACTTACTTGAGTTCACTCCTCTGAACCCACATAACCAACCCCACAATATTATCCTCTGTCCTCCATAAATGTGCCATGACATGTACACAACACTCCACAAACACACACACACACAAATGAAAAGATTTAAAAAAGTAAATGGAATATAATAGCAATGAAATTAAATCAATTATAATAAAGAACTACATCTCTCAAATGTAACAGGCCCGGGTGAGTTTACTAGTGAACTCTCCTTAACTTTTCTTCTTATACTACTTCATAAACAGAAAGGGAGATAACCCTACCAAACGTTTTTTGAAGCCAGTATTACCTTGATACCAAAACCAAAAAAAAAAAAAAAAAGGACAAAACAAAAGAAAACTATAGGCCAGTTTCCCTAATGAACACAGAAATATGAAAATTCTCAACAAAAATATTTACAGTTCAAAAAAGCATCAAAAAGATCACCTACCATGTCAAGCTGGTTTTGTTCCAGAAACATAGGGATAGTGCAACACACACAATCAATGAATATAGTGCATCACATTAACAGACTCCAGGATAAAATCTAATACTCCTTCATTGAAAAGGGGTCAGGGGACAGCTCTGAGGAAAGTAGGACTAGAAGGAATAATAAAGCTATATTATATAAAACAAACCTAAAGCCAACACTACACTAAGTGGGGAAAAACTCAAAGCATTACTAAACTCAAGAGCAAGAAATGGTATCTACTATCTCTGCTCTGATACAGAGTGCTGCTTATAGTCAGCTACAGCACTAAGACAAGATAAGGAAACAAAAGGGTACAAGTAGGGAAGGAAAAAGCCAAAGTATCCTTATTCACAGGTGATAGAACTCTACACATAAGAGATCCTAAGGCTCCACAAAAAAAAACTGGTAAACATTATCATCAAAGAAGCAGGATACAAAATTAACATTTAATAATCAGTAGCCTCCCTGGGTACAAATAGTAACTGTGCTGACAAAGAAATCAGGGCAACAATCCCATTCACAACTGCCTCAAGAAAAAAATAAACTATTCTGGAATAAACTTAGACAAGGAAATGCAAGATCTCTACAACAAAAACTTTGTAAAACTGAAGAAATTTAAGAAGACACTAGAAGTTGGGAAGATTTCCCCAGATACATGCTCATGGACAGGAAGAATTAAGATTGAGGAAAAGACTGTACTACCAAAAGCAATATACAGGCTCATTCAATGCAACCCCATCAAATTTCCAACATCATTGCTCACAAAAATGTGTGTGTGTGCGTGCGCGCGCGCGAGCACGCTCACTAGAGATATTGTCATACCTAATTCCAAGTTATGCTACAGAGCTATAGTAATAAAAATACCATGTTGCAGGATATTTGATCACACTGTCAACCCTGAAATTACATTGTTTACTGGGGGGGGGAGGGGGGCTGTTTCTAGTTGTGGTGTGGCTCAGCCCTAGACACACCTTTAATTCAAGAGCTTTCTGCTTGAATATTGTAAACAGGCAATAAAGTCAAACATAGGTTAAGAGGCAGAGCAAGCAACCAGTTGACAGAAAAAAAACAGAGAGTAAGAGGGAGGAGAACAGATAGAAAGACACACAGAAAGTAGAAGGGAGGACATTCAGTTTGAGGAATCTTGGTTGAGAAGGCATAGGAGAAACTCCTTTTATGGAACGTCAGCAGGGGAGGAAGGTCAGTTGGGTGCTTTCTCTGCCTCTCTGAGACAGGAGGCTTTCACCCCAGCATCTGGCTCCCAAGTCTTTATTGGTAAAATCAAACAATTAAGATTTAGAGGAAAACAACAATACCATGGTACAAGTGCGTGCGCACGCGCGCACACACACACACACGCGCACACGCACACGCGCACACACACTGATGGAACAGAGGACCCAGATATAAACCCACACAGTGACAACCACCTGACCACCTGACTTTTGACAAAGATGTCAAAAATACACACTGAAGAAAAGATAGCCTTTTCGGCAAATGACACAGGAAAAACTTGACATCCTCAAGTAGAAGAATGGAAACCAGATCAATATTTCTCACCCTGTAAAAAAAAAACCAATCAACACCAGGCACTGGAGAGATGGCTCAGCAATTAACAGCGCCTGCTGCTCCATCATGAGGACAGGAGTTCCGATCAAAGCACCCTACCAGGCACTTCACAAACATCTCCAAGGAATCCAAAATCCTCGGGCCTCCTTAGCCACGGGCACACTCTCATACGTACGTACATATGTATACACACACACACACACACACACACACACACACACACACACACGAAGTCTTTTTAAAAATCAATTCCAAATGGTTCAGCAATCTTTGGAAGACCTAAAACTCTGAAACTATTAAGGGAAAAAAGAAGGGAAAATACTTCAATATATAGACAAAGACAAAGACTTTCTCAATAGGATTCCAGTATCAAAAGAAATAATGCTAACAATTGACTACTGGGGTCTCAGGAAAGTAAAGTTGCAGTACAGCAAAGAAAAACAATTAAGGGAAAAGACAGCCCACAGAATGAGAGGGAAATGGTGCCTAATTATGCATCTGGCAGATCAGCATGTAGAATATACAAAGAACCCAACATCAAAACAAGAAGTCAAGCCACCAAATCAATAGATGGGTATGATGGTTTGAAAGAAAATGGCCCCCAAAGGGAGTGGCACTATTAGGAGGTGTGGCCTTGTTGGAGGAAATGTGTCACTGTGGGTCAGACTTTGGGATCTTTTTCCTCAAGCTTCCCTCAGTGTGACAGTCAGTTGACTTCCTGTTTCCTACAAGATGTAGCACACTCAGCTCCAGCACCACGTCTGCCTGCACACTGCCATGCCATGCTCTCTGTCATGATGATAATGGACTGAACCTCTGAAACTGTAAGCCATCACCCCAGTTAAATGGCCAATAAACATGGAAAATGTTCAACCTCACTAGCTATCAAAGAAACGCAAATTAAAATTATGCTGAGATTCCATTTCTCACACCAGTCAGACTGACAGTCATTAAGAAAATAACAAATGCTCTGGCAAGCACACAGATAAAAGGGAACCCTTATATATATATGGTGCTAGTGGGAATGTGAGCTAATCCAGACATGTAAACTATCATGGAAGTTCCTGAAAAATTTGCCAATAGATCTACCCTAAGACACAGGTCTATCAATCCAAGGTATTTACTATAGAAGGTCTCCAGGCCAACACAACAGAGATACTTGCCTATCAGTGTTTATCATAACACTATTCACAATAACTAAATTGTAGAATCAATACCTAAATGATCATCATAGAGAAATAAAAAAAAAATGTGGCATACACACACAATGGAATTTTTTCAGTCATAAAGAACAGCCAGGCAGTGGTGGCGCACGCCTTTAATCCCAGCACTCGGGAGGCAGAGCCAGGCAGATCTCTGTGAGTTCAAGGCCAGCCTGGTCTACAGAGCGAGATCCAGGACGAGCACCAAAACTACAGGGAGAATCCCTGCCTTGAAAAACCAAAATAAACAAACAGTTAAATAACAAAGTATATGTAGTTTTCAGGAAAATGAATGCAGCTGGAGATAATATTAATCCAATGAAGTCGGTTTTTAAAAAGACAAATACCCTACTTCACTTATTTTATAACATTAATAGAACACCAGCACCCTATACAACAAATAGATACTCCTAAAAATTAAAACACATTGTGTCTGGATATAAATTTAGAATCTAAGAAAGACACAGCACTGCTATTTGGAAACTTCATCAGCAAGGCAGCTAGCACAACCTCCTCATACTCAGACTCTCTATGACTGACTGACTGTGACAGACATGACAGCAAAGAAGTCAGAAGAGCTCAGAGTTGGGTCCCTCTCTTTGACTGTCTTTTCTTTCCTGGATTACTCACTCTGAAAGCCAGTGAGCCTGTGTAAACACCTAACA